GTTATGTGAAATCTCATGTTCCACACTGCAGTTAACATAGTAATTGTCCAAATATCTGTACCTTATAGCTTCAAGCAGAGAACCAGGGAAGTATTGTGGCTGAGCTGTTGAACCATGAATTATGAGATCCGGAGTCAACTATAAAAGCTCAGTAGATATAAGTCCGGTGGGGGCTTATGCTCAGTGGTTAAAGACGCTGAGCTTGTCTGTTGACAGCCTGGATTCAAGGATGGTAACAGGGTGGGCTCAGGTCCTTGCCCAGCTCCTGCCAACCTAAAGCATGCAAATGCGAGTAGATAAACAGGTACCACTTAGATGGGAAGGTAACAGGGTTCCGTGTGCTTTGGCATATAGTCATGCTGGTCACATGACTACAGAAGGATCTTCAGACAATGCTGGCTCCCTCAGCTAGAAAATGGAGATGACACTGCCCTTTAGAGTTGGACATGACTGGACAGTGGAAACCTTTACCTTTAGCTATATAACTCCAGCAGAGTTTGCAGCCGCTCACCTTCTTCTGCCCTGGTAGAAGGGTTGTCTGCCAGTGGTGGGATTCAAAAGTTCTCACCACCAGTTCTGTGGGCATGGCTTGGTGGGTGTGGCTGCAGGGGTGGGATCGCGTGCGCGCATGCCAAATGTGCACTTTGCACCTGTGTTAAAACAGTAAAAAAATAAGTTACTGTGCCTCTCAGCTGTTTAGCACACCAATCTGCTCTGCTGCGTCAAACAGCTAAGAGGTTAAAAAGGACCTAGGAGCAGGGGTGGGCGAATGGGCCCAACTGCAGAGCATCGGAGCTGATCTTTGGCACTACCGGTACGCCAGAACCAGGCCGAACCGGTAGAATACCACCACTGTTGTCTGCTCAGTTTTCTTCCACCCTCTTCAACCAGGGATTCCATACTACAGTGTTTCCCCGAAAATAAGACCCAACCTAGCATGATTTTTCAGGATGCTTGCAATATAAGCCCTACCCACAAAATAAATCCCAGTTAAGATAAATAGCCAGACTGACACATTTAGTACTGTATTTTCCCCAAAGTAAAACCGAAATGGAAAATAAGCACTAATGCGTCTTTTGGAGCAAAAAGGAATATAAGACCTGGCCTTATTTTCGGGGAAACACGGTAATGGTTGATTCTCTCCATCCTCTCCAGGGTCTTGGTTGGAGCTTGTCCATCTGGGTCTTCCCTTCTACTATGGAAGCCTCCCCTGGACTGTTCTCCTCTCCTCAAACAGGAACAGACACTTACAATGCACAATTCACTCTCCTACTTTCCAAGTTCTCTCCAGCTTGTCCGTTCACTCCAGCCACAAAAATGTACTCTAGTCTCCTTCTTCTGCTCCTTCTTGCTTTCTCTCTCTCCAATTTTTGGAGCATGTCCCCACCTGGCCCTGCTCCCCAATACATAATACCTCACTGCAGTAATGGGACTACTGACTCAAAATCTCCCCACACTGGTTAGCAGCCAAGTCAGCTCTTCAGGCCTCATGATACAGAGAGCAGCTGCCTTTTCGACACCCAAATTGAGTTATGTTTTTGCTTGGCTTTTTCTCACTCCATATGTTGGCTTGTCCAAGCAGAACAGCAGCCCTTCCAGGCCACAAAATCCATATGCTACCCAGAGAGGGAGATTATAATGGATGGCTGAAGTTGCAGATCTTTTTGAGCTTTGCGCACTAATTTGTTTTCTAGCATCTGTTCTGGTAAGCCACACATGAAGCGTGAGTGCCAGCAATATGGTGCAGCTGCCAACAGAGCCAAGGCATTTTTGGATGGCACCGATATTGTAATACTAAAATTACAGGAAGTAACAGCTCTGCTTTATGCTTTATGCTACACCGATACTTGTTTGTCCAAAGATGCTGGTGAATTGGAAGGATAGCAGAGAAGAGCAAATAACAGGGAGGGAGGGTAAAGTATGTGAAGGACTGAGTCTGTCGAGCCCAGTACTTGCCAAACCTGGGTAAATTATCCCAAATTAAGTAAAAGTATTTCTTCTTTGGGTAACGATACACAAACCCATTATCCAATCACAAAAGAGACATTTAAATTGTCTTAAAGTATTTTACCTACATTGGATAAAAAGAAATAAGCAGTTTTGAGTAATGAAAGAAAAGGTTTGGGAAGCACAGGGATAGAGTATATTAACCTGGTAAGATTTATCGATTGTTGATTGATTGATTGATTTTAACTTTTATGCCACCCGTCACAGGGTAATTCTGGATGCTAAGTTGTTTGACAATTAAAAACAACAGCATTATTTGAATGCAAATCATAGTGGTGATGACCAAGATTAGCATTCATTTTCAGTTATGGGTGGGACAAACAGAGGCCCCCAAATGGGCAACCTGAGAAGGTAGGTCATGCAACAGTCATAAACGTGAAAAACCATCATAAGTCACTTTGTTCAGTGCCATTGTAACTTTGAATGGTCACTAAATGAGTTGTTGTAAGTCAAGGACGACCTGTATATGAGCCATCCAAACTATATTGATCCAAAACCGAAAGGAACGGGCTATTTCTTATTTTATTCATTCATTCCTCTCCACATTCTTAATATCTTTTTAATGACAGCTTTATGACTATAATCATGGCAATCCAGTGTCACTCTGAAATGGCAAATGTGTTGTATTTCATCTACACCCGTGATGGTGAACCTATGGTATGCATACCACACAGAGCCATTTGTGCCGGCACACGAACTGCCGGCAAATTTACCTCACTGCGCATGCCCCAAAACTGATTTTTCAGCTGGTTTGAGGCCTTTTTCAGCCTCCCAGAGCCTTGAAAAAAGCCTCTGCAGGCTTTTCAGGATGAATAGACCAGTTTCGTCACTTCCTGTAATACTGGAAATGATGAAACGGGCCTATTATTAATCCTGCAAAGCCTGCAGAGGGTTTTTCAAGCTTCTGGGAGGCCGAAAAAGGCCTCAAACTAACCAAAAAATTAGCTGTGAGGCACAGCAGAGGTGAAGGGGTGGCGGGGGTGTGTGTTGCATGCGCAAGCAATGTGCATGAGGGGTGTGCATTGTCTTCTGGGTGCTGGCACACGAGCCTGCGAGTGCAATCATGCGCACAATTTTTGGCACAGGAGCCCAAAAAGATTAGCCACCACTGATCTACACAATGGCTTTTGTCTTGTTTAAATGATTATCTTTGGCTCCCAAAATCAGCACTCTGACAGCTTAGCACAAGCTTCATCTTTTCTGTTGATTGCATGCAGGCACGGAGAAATGGTGGATTGGGTGAAATTCAGCTTCCGTTGAAAATTTTGATTTCCAGTTGTCTATAATAAGCACTTTAAACCCTTTTGCCTTTGGAAGTGTTGCATTTATACATGAGAAGAGAAGAATTCCACAGTCCTGAGGTCATAAAATAGAAATGCAGCCTTGCTGGGTGGTAGAGACATAGAAGCAAAAATGTACATAAACCTTCTCTGGAATTAGTTCTCTTTTTAGCTACTTATTGGTACAGCAAAGAGCATTTTTTTCCTGAGTCTGCTAAGTCCTCCCTGAAAGAAAACCCTGTGGGATTGGCTCTGCTGGAAGTCTCACGTAGGCACGAATATGGAAATACCTCACTTCTGTGACTCATCCCTCCTAGTTTCAGAGCTCCACACTGTTTTCCCAAGCAAGACACATGATGAGCACAGAAGGCTTAGAAAATCATGGATTAATTTTTTCTGCCGATGGCTTTTAGCAAGAGGAAGCAACAAGTCTAAAGGATGAGGTGCTGTGGCCCTCAAAAATTGCTAAACAACATCTCCCAAATAGTTATGGCAGCTGAAATCATGTTCAACAAGTGTGATGGTTGAATGACACTGAATCCAGTGATCTGAGTTTTCATCCCTGAAAGCTGTCGGCCTTCAAGATTTTTCTCCCTTTGCTTTGCTTCTTTCGGCTGTCATAAGTGATGGGGGGAGGAGGGGGGAATGATTATGGGAAGTGAGCTGGAGGTGTTACAAACCAGAACTGTATAAGCTGTGGGGGGTACATTCTTGCTTAGGTTTCTATCCTATGCTATGCGCAGCTGCAACCCTTTATCAAACTATGTCAGGGTCAACGGACAGAAGCCTCATCATCACCTGGAGACGCCCACATGATGTTCCACACAGCTTTTAATTGGATGAGCCAATTGAGCTATTGGGGGGTGGGAACGTTGCCATTACTTTGTATATGTGATTTACGCGCCCATTTTCTCAGATTCAGAATTTTTTGGTTGCTACCACTTGATTTCCAGTAAAAGATATCTTTTCTCTGATTAAAAGAGTCTAAGTATTTCTTTCTTGGATTTTGAATAAAGCACCAGCTGACAAAAGTTTTCAAGAAGAGGCTGGACTGTCAGAAATGGTGTACGGTCTCCTGCTTGGGCAGGGGGTTGGACTAGATAACTCACAAGGTCCCTTCCAACTCTGTTAATTTGTTAAACCTTTGGAGGTTTTCTGTCCAGCATTACCAGAAAGAAATTGACTGATTTTGATGAATCCATTTCTGATATTTGGTCCTTCTAGCCTGATTTATTTATGTCACCTGACTCTCAATGACTCACAATCAGCAAAGGCATTGCAATAAATTATAAAGGAAAAAAATTGCGAAGTGAAAGTTGGGTTGAGAAGAAGTGATTTGTTCAAAGTCATCTGGTACTTCTATGAAGCACTATGCCACAATACTGTACTGCTTTTCACAATTCTATTTTAAAGGGAGTTGGTTGGTGGCTTTGTGGGTGGGTGGGTTGGCTGCTAGCTGGCTGGCTGGTTGGTTGGTTGGTTGGTTGGCTGATTGGCTGGCTGGCTGGTTGGCTAATTGGCTGGTTGGCTGATTGGTTGGTTGGCTGATTGGTTGGCTGGTTGGCTGATTGACTGATTGGTTTGGCTGGCTGGCTGGCTGGCTGGCTGGTTGGTTGGTTGGTTGGTTTAAAGGATTTCCCCCCCTCTGGCCTTTATATATTCCAGTGGCCTGTGCCTAAAAAAATAAAATCTTATCTTCCTTACATTCCTTAGAACACAAACATCAAAGTAGAAGATGTCCGAATACGGGCCGTTTTTTCAGCCTCTCGCAAACGCATCCCTGTAACAGAGGGTTACGTGGAGATCAAAGAAGGGGGCACTTGGAAGCAGATATGCGACAAAAACTGGACCACCAAAAATTCCCGTGTTGTCTGTGGCATGTTCGGGTTTCCAGCAGAGAAGAAATACAACATCAGAGCCTACAAGTAAGAGGAACTTTTCTAAGGGGTGGTTACATTTTTGAACTTCAAGAATACAATGCATATGCAGATCTCTTTGGAACCAGCCCTTTGCAAATGGGAGCTGGTAAAATGCTGGTAGTTTCTGAGTGATTCGTTGTCAGTGTCTGAAGAGCTTCAATTCTTAATTTCCTCCATCGTTTTTGACAAAAAGAGGCCTTCAGACAGCTGTGAAGCATATTCTCTTGAGCAATATAATTTGAACAGTTTGTCCCGTCCAAAGATGGAGGGAGGTCTGAAGGTACCAAGTCTCTGCTCTCCATGCTCGCTCTTCAAGTTTCCATGGAGGCTTTTTTTTTACTAGTGTCCCCTCTTCGCAGGATTTCATTGGCCAAGTTTCAAATACTTCATTAGTGAAAAATGATGAAATTAAAATGAAGGGGGGGAAGAAAGAAGGAGATTTATGGAATGGAATTCTTCAAAACCGCATCACAGTGGATTTGTTAAGGCCATCCTGGGTTTTTATGTATAATATATTTACAAATCATTGGTGTGGAAGTGATTCCAGATGGCCTGGTGTGTTTTGTTTTACATGTGGGATAGAAACAGTCACATGTCTACACCAATGTTCTGGTTTTCTTGGGATCTCTAGTTTCCACCCTGCTTATATCTCTGCCTTTGTGGGAACTGGTGGCTGCTTTTTGTGGGGGTGGAATGGCCTGCTTAACTGCTCACTCAGAATAAATCTGGTTATCTGCTCTGTAAGTTGAATCTCAGCTGCCTGTCTTGAGGGAAAGGGCTTCAGGCTTGGTGACTAAGTCTTTCCTCTCTTCAGTGGGGTCATAGCGGTCAGTTGAAAGTAGGAAAATGACTACATCCTGTCAGTGTGATTCATTGATCTCCTTTTCTTCAACCCAACAAATTCCCAGAGAAGCTTACAAGGAAAAGCAATTGCTTAAA